AAGTAAAAATTTTTTACAACGATAAAAAAAAATGGGCAGAAAGTACAAACAACGATTGATACCAGAGCAGGATCGTCGGATATGCGGTAGCATTTGCTGTTGTCAGTTAACAATAGTCATCAGCTGTGTTGCTCTAGTTTACCTGAGTGTTGCTGTCTATATACCATCGCACAGGTAATTTCTTCACCCTCATTACTTGTCCACTTATGTCAAGGATCCATTGAAATTACTAAAGCAATACACTCAAACAATTTTTTCCATTCTCCAATCATTAAACGAGATAAACAAGAGATAATAACTCTCAATAATTAATAAATTATTCATCCCTATTTCCCCACTCCCCTATTTTCTACCCTGAACTCCAATTCTGAATTAATCAATTCGATTAATCGATTAATTGATATGTATGAATTAATGAAATAGATTGATAAATTGGAATTACGAATTCATAATAATTTGAGAATAATTGTTATTTTTCTCAGGATATTTTTTAAATAAATAATTTTCATTTCTCCTGGGGTTTTTATGATCATTATTATGGAGTAGGGGGATTGGTTTTTTTTGCTAGAATTTTTTTTTATCATTTCAGGGCATTCAACGCGGGAATCGATCCGGAACCCGTGATGTGTCAAACGGTTAATGCTACATTGGTAAATTATTGCGCTTGGGCTAGCTGCGGCGAGTGGTGTTTAACAAAAACAACGGGTTTTTGTCCTCAAATTCACGCAACAGTGAGGCGTAATGGAACCGATCTTGTCCTTGAAAATTGCACTCAATTTTCCAGTATCGCGTGTCCACAGGTGATGATTACATCCACTCGTAAAATTCAAATGTCCACCGAATCCCGATAATCAGAAGACGAAGAAACAAAATTCACGACTAAAATTTCCGGAGAAATATGTGGTCTTATTTTTTAATAACATAAAATAGTGATATCGATTGTTTTTTTCTGGGAATAGAGTAAACAATTCGAGGATTGCATGAGGCGATAAGAATTTTTCTCTCAACAGAGGCTTCCATTGAATTT